CAAGCGTAATGTGTTGTCATTTATTAATCTTGGCTGTAACTATCTACTTTTAAGTTTTGGGGCTGAGAAGAACTAGCCTTGTCCAACTATTTTAGAATTAAATTAGCTTTATGAACTATTAGACAATCTCTAAAATCAGTTGCTTACTTTATTTTTCTAACTATTGTTATGACTGAGTCTTCTTTTGTCAAAATTATTGTAAATGTTAATGAAAATTAGTAATAATGCACCAGTAAGATGCAACTGATGTCCCTAGGTCAGTGTAATTTATACAGGTAGACAAACAATAGAAGATTGAGCACAGCAAAAAGCTTTTATATTTTTCTTTACAAAACAGAAATGTATCTCTGTACTACTCCTGTTTGTAATGTTCAGCTGGCTTGACAGGTTTTCTGTGGTTTTCGTTATACAATACTGTTGGCATTTTTATTGGGATATACTTTATTGATCACAGTGTAGACACAGTGTTTTTATGTTCCAGCATATTCGAAATTATATTCAAGAGTGTTTGATTTAGCTACTTCTTATTGTGCCAGCTCTGCCAATGGCACACGGGAATGGGTCTTGATTTCAAATGTGTTACAGGTCAAAACCATATTATTTTGTGCTCTCATCAGCAATTTCTTGGTCGCTCACTACCTTGCCCCCATGTATCCTGTTCTTCCTTCCATCTCCCATTTCAGCAATGTTTCGACAGTTCCTGTGATTGACAGCATAGAACAAGCTGGTAGCTCATGTTCGCCTTGTAAATACATAGTCAACTTCATTCCAACCACTGCAGAGGAGAAATTTCCCACTAGCCCTCCAGCCAAGAGCCCACCACCTTCGGCCACTGAGACTCCCGATCTCCCTGATTCATCCTACCTGTCTCCACAACCCTCCGTCCTTGCTTCGTTGTTAGTCAACCGGAAGTTGCCTGCCATCACAACCAGCACCTCATCCAGATCTGGTTCCCAGGGTTCCTCGGCAAACATCACCCCAGCTGTATCTCCAACAGTGGAGAAGCTGCCATACCTTCCTCATTCCCCATTCCATCTTTTCTCATATGACTTTGACGAGCCTTCTCCTTCTACAGTCAAAGACACAGAGGCTGAAGCAATGAGGTGCCTCAGGTAGATGCTAAAGTTAGCCATTGACACTAATACCTAAAAAGTAAACAAAATGTCTTTAATACTTCCAGAAATCCACATGGGCACTGCTGTTTTTTGTTTCTTAGGGAAGCACTTAACATGGGTGTTTAACTAACTTGAGATAACTGAGTGGATATTGTTATGGAAGTGCAGTTCTAAAGGGTTATGAACTCTTGAAACAGGTACTGCACCTCTCTCTCCCTTTCTCTTTCTAATGGAATGCACTTTTTATTTTTAGGGTTCAGAATACCTCTGCCAAATACTAGTGGGGAGGTATAATTTCTTTAAGCCAGCAGCTGGCAAGCTAAATTTTCCATTTTACAACCCTGAGGGCCCTCCTGTAGTTTATTGCTCATCTGCCTTTCATTGTGGTTGTGAGGAACTTTCTAGTTTAAAAAAAAATGAAAGGATAGTTCAAATGCTGGTTAGCCATCAAAGCACCTATAAAAATTGAGCAAACTGAAAAAACTGTTTTTTTTTTCCATCATAGACACTGTTTGGACATGACATCTTTCCTTGCATCAATTTTACTTCTAATCAACCAGGGACCAGTTTAAAATGAACTAAATACAGCTGTTTTTGTGTCATGTTTAATGATGGTAAAGACATTTTTTTTCAAAGGATCATGGAGATAAATTCTACTTCTTATTATTGTCAGTATCAGTTTAAGATATGACGCATCTGGTCATATTTGATCAAATTCAGGATGCATGCTTCTTGAGACCGGACAGTCTAATACGACATTAACTCTGTGTTGTTCTTAAAATGTGGCGTTATTGAAGTATTGCCTGTGTATGATTTAGAAGCTTGATTCAAACCCAGAGAAGGTAGTTTTCAATTAACTACTGTTCTAGCAGATTCTGTCATAGTCCTGTTTGAGATTTCACACCACTTTTCCTTAACAGTACTAATGCAACAATTAGTAAAAATGGCCTACAACGTGATTCCTTTTTATGTACAGTAGTGCTGTTTAGGGTTTCTTTTGTATGTTCTTTGTCTCCTCCTCCTGTGGTGCATGTATTTTCTTTTTCCCATTTTCTTTCTCTGTCTCATCTTCACAGTCAGGCAGATGCTTCATACGCAAGCAAAAATTTGGATTCCTATGATTCATATTCAGCCAGGTCTTACACCTCTGGAAGGTAGGTTACCTTCACTGAATGACTAGTTAATGTTCATTACAGTTTAGTTTCAGTGGTCCTGGATATTGACTATCGTATATTCTGAATGCCACTCGAGGATTGTGGTAACAACAATTTATAGTCTACTCTTGTTTGATCCTATAGTGAAGATTTATTTTTGCAAAACTGGAAGTTGGAGAAAACACCCTTTTCCTAGAAAAATGTGAAAAGCTGCACTGTATACACACTTCCATAAAAGTGGCATTTAAAAAAGAACATTTGAAAAGAAGAGGTCAAAGGACAAACCAGAGGGTCGTGCCCTTCCCACCTTACAAGAAACACAATGCATGAGTTAAGATTTAAGACTGGAAATAACATGTTGGTAATATAAACAACCGAGGAAGTACGATAATGTATTCTTTGGAAGGCTACTGTCTGTTCATTACTGTAGCCATGAACAGACACTATAGGAAATTTTACTTGGCCATGTCCATGAGTCCTTGCTGTGTCCTAACCAATGGTGAGCCACAGTGCACTATTGGTTAGGTGGGAAAGTCAACAGTATATCATTCATCAGAGACCACAGTTGAAAGTCTGGTGTCTAAAAGCTAGTGATTCTCTCTGTAACAGATGCGTCAGCCTTGTATTTAATACAAGAAGATTATTACTAGGTCCTCTAGTCTTGCAGTCAGAGCACAAACAAATAGCTTCATGGTGGACATAAAACTTTTAAAATGGGAAAATATTAATGTATTAATAAAGTGTCATTTGCTGTAGATTGATTGCATGTCAGTAATAAATCACTAATCATAAACCCCTATAGTAAGCAGCAGAAGGTGTCTTGCTCCATCCGTTATACTTTTTAAATGTATCAACTGCTATCTTGTTGTAAATCTTTGTCCCATAAACTAATATGAGACTGATGATTGTTCTTCTAACCTACCCAGTCCTGGATGTTGGGGTGCTGAAATGGGCTGAACAGCAACTGGTTTAATTTAATTTCTAACAGTAGATTGTTGTAATGCTTATTCTGTGTATTAACAACTCGCATCTAAACCCAGTACTAACCAGAGCAAAGCAAAGTTGATTTGGAAGAAGACAGGATTTTGGCATTAATTCTAACTATGCAACACCTGCAGAAGCTTTTGTCAGCCTTTTGGCATCTGTGTTCATTTATCTCTGAATTCACAGGGCATTCACTGTCTGCTGTTGAGCTGTTCTCAGTGGGAGTTGTCTCATATAGTTGTAATAATATAGAAAAAAAACATTTTTGTGACATCCCTGCCTACAGTTGCAAAGTAGTATAATCTTTAACATACCAATGAGAAAATATATTGCTTTGACAGAGATTTTAAAACTTTAATTTCCCAGAAAACACTGGTAAGATATGGACTCTTACTGAAAATATTTTGTACCATCCCTAATTGTTAAGCACTGTTTAGTTAATGGTTTTCTTGAGACTGTTATTAAAATGAGCTTACATTTGCACTAAGCATTTTGAGTACTTTGCTCCAGGGGGCAATAGCAGTTTTTAACCCATGTTACAAACCAACCATCTTAAAAGTTATAAATTCATACTGTATCTACATTTACAAACATTAAGAACATAATGATGGTTTTGGACAAAGGTATGAGTTAACTGCAGTAGGGAGCTTTTTAACCTGTTGAAGTATTTAAAAGAAATTAGGAAGGAAGTGATTAACCTTTACAGATGCTGATGAAGACATTACCATGTAACTTCATTTTTAGCCGTGCTTTGAAATGGTTCAATTTTTCTTGCTGATATGAAATGCAAACATACTCCATTTCATGTTAGTGTCATGTCAATTGTCAAGTCCGGGTTATTTTGGGGAACTTCTTTGAATTGGGCAATGATTTCCAGCTTGTTTTAGCACATCTTGAATGCATATTTAATTGCAGATCCCCGTGGCTTCATTTGTGAATGCATACAACATAAAAATGCAGTGAAACACTTAGTCAAACTAAATAAAAAACATATTTCTCCAAAAGCTTGATCTATTATGTGTTTGTGACACAGACCAATGGTTGCATTGCTTGCATATCATTCTGCTGTTTCATTATTTTTGTTAACAATTTTACATTTTTGATAGATAATTCAGAAATCCTATGATGATTTTTCCTATGATTTTAACTCTTTTTTTGTGACTAGTACTTTAAGTGTGATGCTGTGACTGAGATTTTTGTACAGTGGTTGTTGGGTGTCTGTTGTGTGTGGTTTGTCACTGACCCTTTTTCCTGTCTGTCTATAGACCTGGCACCTATGGAAACAGTCCTTACTCTGCTGGCAGGAGTTTCACTGCTCTGAGTGCACCCTCCACTCCCACTACCCGCTATGGGGCCTCTGTATCACCTTCTCCAGAGACCAAGACAGAAAGGTTTGTTATAGTCTTTCCCCAGCCTTTGAGCTGAGCCAACAAGGAGTTATGAACAGGTGTTCTGCAGTACTACTGTATATTCCATTAGTAGTATTGGTACTATACCAATCTGTTATGGGAGTCAGTTATAAAAATGAAAACACAGACAGACAAATCTTTGTATCACCCATATGGAGGATGGGCATCTCTAACCACGCACATCCAAGCATAGGCCAAGGTCAATTTGAGGTTTCACTGCATCTGTAACATTTCTACATATTATGCTAATTTCTTAGTTATCGGTACATGTTTCACATGATCACTGTAAATTGTTATACTTTGCAAATTATATATTTCCATTTGTACAATTTTGCAATTGTAATCTTTGCCTTGTTTCAGCACAGATGCTAAAAAAATGTTAAAGGTACCCTTCCCAGAACAAATGAGTAATATTAATCCTACCCATTGTAGTACCCCTAGTACTACAGTAGAATGAAAAAAAAATAATAGAATAGAGGCGATCTAGAGATGTTAATGTAAGCAAATGTACAAACCCATTAAGAAAAGTTCATATGTTCTGGTCTGTTATCAGTTTTGTGCATGCTTTGCTCATTTTGAAAAGTAATTATGTTAGGTGGATGCACAGCAGTAGCTGTTGGGAGATGCAAAATGACATTTTGTTGGGAAACAAAGTCTTAAACTCCTACTGCTCCATATGCAAGAAAATACCAAATGAGTAATCATCAAAAGAAATGTTTCTTGACAGGGAAAGATAAAGTGTTAAAACTGGCCATCCATAACTTTTTTTTTTAATTCTATCCATGTATAACAGTTCTAATATGATTCAGATGTTTTTTTTTCTTTTATATTGAATAATGTGCCCCAATAGGTGTAAAGCTCTTACATCATTTTCATTGCTATCACAAGGTCTTCTTGTGATACTCGTAGGACATATCCTTTTCAGGTTACTATCCATCTCCCTGTTATATTTATTGATATTCCGTAATAAATCACTAATTTCTATTAAAAAATCTAACGAAAATGAAAAAATTAAGCAAAAATAAAAATTTAAGAACATGCTCAAGAACATAAAGATGTTCTATTTGAGAGAAACAAGAAGGTATCTATGAAGCAGTCTTCAGTCACATACAGTACATCTTATATTTACTACGTTATTCAAAATATATTGAAATAATATTTTGGTCTCATATTCTGTTAGAAAAAAGCATACAAGAAACAATAAAGAGTTAAATGAGTAAATAAGCTAGGTTTAACAAGCTAGCTACAATCCTACTGATGCTGACTGATTCCATATGAAATTAACAGTTTGCAGCACAAAGCAGGCTAAAAAAAATGAAAAACTAATGTACTGTGAAACAAATTTCCAACAAGCACACTCAACAAGCATTTAACTTGTTTCACAAGGCCGCTTGAACATCTGTTGCAAATGAAGAGTTCCCCTAACAACTATATTAATAACAAATATTTTAATTTTATAGTTCAAAATGGATTAACATTTTATGTAATAATAACTGGCTGCATTCAAATAGTGCTTTACAGTGTATTACATCTGAATTGTGAGTATAGAGTACCCACTTCATCCAGTACTGAAGTATAACACCCAATTAGTGCCAGCAACACAGTACACACCAAAAAAGGTTTAGGACTGTAAATTGTTTCTTTAATGGAAAAAAGGAGGAAATTTAGGGGAGCCAGGTTAAGTAAGTACACAAGCAGAAGTAAAGTGCAATTTAGCCAGGACATCGAGGTTAACTTAATTACTATTAAGAATGGTGCCATGAAATCCTTAATGACCTAGCAATAAGGGCCTCTAGTTTCATCAGATGATACCTCCTACAGAACACTGTCCGCTGGCTCCATACTAGTGCATTAGTGTGCAAACACTGCTGTTTTGTACCTGTTCTTTGGCCTTGAATAAAACACAGGTTGAAAGGTAATCTCCTTGTATTAAAATACTATAAAAATAAATTACCACTGAGCCATTTGTTGCTAAATCTCAAACTGGAAAAAACAAATGTTTAATGATAGAGTTTATTCTTTTGAATATAGCTGCAGAAGACATCTTGTTTTGGTTTTTGTGATGATCAGTAAAAAAAGACAGCATATAGGACAGTAAAGAAACACCACACACACGGCAAACTACATTTTACAGTAATTAAACATGATAAAATATTTTTTATAAGTTAAATATAATCGATGACATAAACGCAGTGGAACAACTCAGTTATGTTTCTCAGTTATGTGATGAGAATGGAAGGCCTGTTAAGGCCAAAACATAGTCAAGTCAGCAAAGAACTGTAAAGTGGGTTCCAGTTTTGCTGTTAAACTGTATTTCTTTTAGCTGGGATTTGCTATAAACTTATTGGAAAGACTTGAGGCCAAAGTATCATGTTGAACTGTTTTGGAGCCAATTTCAGTTTTTATTGTTGGTTTGTAGACCAGCTCTTGGGGGACTGCTGACCTCTTCCTACCGACAGCACCAGGAATCTCTGGCAGCTGAAAGGGAGAGGCGACGACAGGAGAGAGAAGAGAGGTTACTGAGGATAGAGCGTGAGGAGAGGAACAGATTCAAGTAAGAATGAAAAACAGAGGTCTACTTAATATCATAGATCAACAGCAGATACACTTCTTTCTTATTTCTTATTGAGATAATAATATTTCACTTACGTAACGTATTAGGTAACAAGAATTACCTTGTAAAATGTATAAAATACTGTATCTAATTAATATGATTCCAGGTTCCATATTAAACAGTAGAGTTAAATTCTTCAGATGTGGTCCTTGAGGTTCACATGCAGGAGATTTTAATTAAAGTCACTGAAGGGCTTAAAGAGCCCTTTCAATACTTGATGTTGGCATGGGAATACAGTCATTTTGGGTAGGCCAAGTCAATGGTCACTTCAATTAAAATTGAAAGCTCGGGTGGAATGAAAGTTTGGAGACCCCTGGTCACTAAAAACTGACTTTGAAGAATTGAACCAGGGTTTTATTTAATAATTGTTTTAATTATGAGCTTTCGGGATCCCCAAAATATTAGCATATTTGTCCTTTTGAGAATAATCCCTGACAGCAGCAATTTGTTTTCTTGGCCCCATGACATTGATCATTGGAATCGAGCCCCTTACCCACTGCCAGTTCACATAAGCAGTGGAGATTTTTACTTATTTCATATTGTTCCCAGACACCTTAACAACTTTCACTTAAGAAACCACCTTGTGTATGTCTTTCGAAGAAATACTGTTACCTGGAAACAGTGAACTGGGTTTGCAGTGCTTACAGTTCTAATGCCAACTGGGGTAGAGGTCCAACTGAGGAAGCCAGCTGCTAATCTCAAGTCCTGCAGCATTTACTCCCCTCCTCTTCATTAGGTCATCTGCTCTACAGTAGCCCATGTGAGATATATCTGGTAGCCCCTAATAATAATATTAAAAAATAATTTGGTGTGGTGAGCCTCCTAATGCTTTGAACCAGCAACAGTATCAAAGCAGTTTTATACAATAATCTATTTTTTATTAAAGTGAGGATGCTAAAGAAATCACTAAATAAAAATGTTTTACACATTGTTTTGCCAAAAAACAACAACTCCATGATATATATTTAGGGTCAGTTTGTTGTTACTTGATATGGTATAAACGTAGGTCTGTGTAATAACGTTTTTAGTCTTTCATCTTTTATCTTCGACTCTTTTTTTGTGGCAGTCGGGACTATGTGGATAAAAGGGAGGAACAGAGGCAAGCCAGGGAGGAGAGGTATGTATATTTCAGAAACATTCTTGCTGATCCTTTCTTAATGCAAGCATGCAAGCTTGCAACCTCTATAATACCACCAACAGAGTATATTTTAAGAGAAGTCTAGCTAATTATTAATTTGTAGGAAAGTATTTGGAAGTTCTTGAGCTCCCCCAGCTCTTTATCTATAATGATGTTACAACACATGACCTACACCAGCATTGTCCCATTACCTTTTTGGCATTTTTGGGAACCTGCCCTTACTTTGGAACTGTAACCTAAATCCCTGCAGGATCATAGATCACGCCATTTTGGGGAACACTGATCGAACACCTCCTTCATTCAGACCTTTTCTCACAGTTCTTGTGCAATTACTCTCATCACTCTCTCAGGGTGGTATCTTGGTGTGGTCTCTATAATTTAATCCATGAGATCTACACTGGGCAAAAGGGCTTTTATTCTAGCTTACTCCTTGGCAGCCAACTCTTAGAACTCCAAGGTCACACAGTTTCAAGGTCATCCAAACTCTCTTAGCTCATTTAACCATCTACAGCTACTATGACAGTGTATTCATTAGAATATCTTCTTTCTGCAGTATTAAAACTTCTGTTGTTCTCTCATCTGTAGCCTGATGATGTTTCTACCTTGCCAGGCAGTCCCTCATCTAGGTACAGGCCTGTCTGTCCCTGTCCCAGCAACCCACAGCTGGTCAAAGACAGAACATCTCTTCACCATTGGGCCTATCAGATAAACTATCCCCCTATACTATAAACTGTAGAGCTGCAATGAATTACTGTACAGCATACTTTGCTAGATCTTCTCAGGCTGCTACATAGCTCACCGAGTCCCAGTCAAGCTTGAGGAGAAACTCGTTCCTATCTAAGGAGACCCAACTCTTTCTCCTGACTGATCACATTTGTCCAGAGACACCTTCTCCATACCAAACAGTAGCACCACCAAGTTTGATCTCTTATTCTTTCTCTGTTGTGATACAAGCACTTTTCCTACACTACTGAACTCTTCCTCAGGCAACACTCTTATAGGTCTCTCGATTACTTAGGGGCAAGGCTAATTCCATTAGAGCCTATCCTATCAGCCCCTTTCCTTCCTGTGGAATTCCAGTCACTCTTCCGATTGCCCCACCATCAAAGCTCAGGTGTGTCTAATTTAGCATCTGCTTCTTGTTACTTTCAGCAGCCATTTTGGCTGAAGGCCACAGCATTGGGCCTAATTTGAGCCAAGACAGTGGCTCCCCACAGAAGCCCATTCTCACTCGATCACATCTACTTAACTTAACTTACAGATTGGGGTATATCTGCAGCAGTGACCTTCTTAAATGTAAATCTCATAAATGCACCTACTGTATGTTTTTCATCCATATTACTCTTTTAAGATATGTTAGCACTTAGGAAAAGCAACCAAAATGCAAATAAGTATTGTGTTCTTCAAAATGCAGAGGAAACATCTTCTCATCTAGTTGTACTCATTTATTTTCATATTGAAATGACTTTCTAAATATGCAATGAAAATCAACTGTTTTCATTTTTCTATCAGGTGAACAAAAAAAGCAGTGTAGCACTGCAACCACATTCTTATGCAGGAATCTGTAGCTGTGGGTGGTATTAAATCCCTACCTAAATCCAAGTCTTATAATTGAATAATTGTTTTCAGGTTAAAATGTATCACATCAATGTTTGTTCCTCACTGGAAAATGTTTCATTCCCATCTTTTTGTCTCAGATTAAAAGGATGCTGCATTTTAAACAATTCTTGATATATTGCTTAGTTGAACACTCACTGTGCCTGGAAATATTTGTAGAGCATTTTTCGATGAACTGTATCAAGAGAAAAAAGAATCAATTATAGTGTTTTTAACACAAACAGAAAATGCCATTTTGATTATTCCATACTCTCTTTGATTCTGAATTGACTACTGTGGTAGATTTGGCATTCTCTGTGCATTAAATGTTAAATAAAAATGAATAATTACATAAGATAAATCAATATAAATAATTCAATTAAATATAATTTGATATAAACCATGTGCACATTCCATTATTTGTGTTGTAGCTATATTGTTATATTGTGCTAAAACAATAGATTATAACCTAAAAATTGGGACAGTGCAAGAGGATTCCTGACATCAGTGACCTTCCGGTTTCCTGAGTTTAATGAATCACATCACTTAAAACAGCAGAAAATGTTTGAAGTGTTTACAAACATTGACATTGCAGCTTTGTAATCCCAGCCAATTTCATTGACCATTTAGAAAAAGGTCTTTCAAGTCGCTGATTTAATCCATTTAAGAGGAAAAAATCTTTTCCTTCTGTTTCACATCAAGGTAAAAAATCAATGGAAAGAAAGTTTTGCAAATACAGTACATTATACTCATTAAAAAAACAAGCATGTCATATGTAGACAGGTCTCATGGATTTACATTTTCCCTGTTGTGCTGAAACACAGAAAAGCTCAGTAAAATTCTGATAGTTCAGTGAAAAATAAGTTGGTGCCTGCTGGTCTAATTAAATTATTTAAACCAGACAGAATTTCTCCACTCCCAGGTAAAGTATTCTGTTTGCCCCTAAAGAACACAGTGACTTTGAATTTGTTTGTATTGTTAGCCACAAACATTTGGAAGGAGACTATGCCTTAACAAAATCAGTTTATACAAACCAATGCTTCACTAAATTAACATAACAGACCAATTCATTTTTGTTGGGCTTTTGTACTTTACATGCAATATTAAGGCACACCAGTTTCTTCTTCTGCTGCACTACTTATGGTGGTATCCTTCTCTAAATAAGCTTAAAGTCCATTTGCTCAAAATTAGTTGGCATGATATAAAATAATCTATAAGAATTCCTGCAGAAGCCATGCTGGCATCATGTGTTATGTTACTCTGCAGAGTGGAAAAAATGCTTATAAACAAATGTACTTATATTAATCACCCACTGTTGTGTTTAATGACACAAAAATGGTATTTGGTAGGTTCCAACAGCCAGCACATTGAGAATTGAATTTAGATATAGCTTGTAATTCATGAAGAATACTTTCCCATGACTTAAATGCATTGTGGTTGTACTTACTGCAACCACTTAACTATACCAGAATAGAAGGCAGATGTACTCCCCACCGGGACTATGAGATATACAGTGCAGAGTAAAATATAGGTGTCATGGCCTAAGTATTACCACCATACATTAAGACATTTAAGGAGAACAGGACAAGGTGTGTAATTTTCATTGGATAAGGATAAGAATGATCCCAGCCCTGTAAGTGATATATGCTTGGATTCCCATGTAGCCCAGTAGCTACAGTATATGTACATTGATGATTTTCCTGGAAAAGAATAACGTGCTTCCCTTCAAGACTTTGACACTGAAAGGATTACTTTAAAGAAGTACGAGTTTGATTTGGTTACTGTTTTCATAATAATCAAGGGATAAAATAAGATATGTGTTCTAAAAAAGGAAAGCATCTGGAAAAAGTTCACATTTCAAGTTATTTTAGGTTTAATCTGTGAAGTACAAATCCAGAGAATGTGATTGGTAGCAGCTCTTAATAAACAGTTAAGGAGCTCTGTCCCTCCAAATGCAAAACAGATGTATCTTTGTTCTTCTAAACAGACTTTGATGAATAAACTATACGTGACGTAAAAGCTACACGACTGGGTATCAGAATGCTTCAAGAGGAAGGGAGTTTTTTTTCAAGAATGTTAATAAAAAATAAACCTGAATAGAGAGAATGAGAGAGTACTGTTCCCCTCGTGTGCTGCACAAATCTGGTCAGACAGAAAAGCCGGCATGAATCTCAGGATTTGGAGCAGAGACATTTAAAGTTTTAACCTTAGAGTTTGCAAAATGGTTTTCTTCTATAGATAAAAGAGCAGAGAGTTACTGCATAGTAGTAAAGCAAATACACATATATTATTTCGGGGACAACTTTTAAAAAAAAAAATTGAATGAATGCCGGTTACCGCAGAAACCCTTGTGAGAACAGGAGATTTATGTAGTGGACGGCACATCTTGAAAAGGTTTAGGATGATTTACCTCTGAAGTTCAGCCTTCCTACTGGAAAGTAAAAGCAGAGGTTTCTGTTGAATATTTTGACTGGTGATAACTTACCCACTGAAGGGGAACAGGCAGTCGATTTGTGAAAAGGAATGCAGCCGATGGTAGTGGAAGTCTTTACTAAGGTGTGAAATGTCATTGTAACCGGTAAAAAAAAAAAGAGGAAAAAACTGAATTCCAAAGGGATTTGACTTAGCTTTCTCGGGAAGAAACAACTTAATGCACTGACTAGCACCGGAGTGGAGTCTTTCCTTGCAGCGCACAGTGTCGTGTCCCATCTGGGCTGAGGGAATAATCTCGCCTTTTCAGGTACAAGCACGTGGAGAGGCTCGCAGCAGAGGAGTACGAGAAGGAGCGAAACCGAGTGGCTCCAAGGGGCAGAAGTGAGCTCACTCTCAGCCTGAGTCCACCCTCGGCAGCTGGCTCCCCTGTTCCCAGGTGTGCCACCCCATCCTCTGCAGATTCCCAGGAGGAGCCAGAGACACCGTCCACACCAGGCCAGCCATGCCCATCTACACAAGGTAACCAAAGCCATTCTAGGGGATTATTAATTTAATGGAGGTTAAAGGCAAAAATTGGTTTATGTAATTTTAGTCAAACTGAGTTATTGATAATGTATTTGGCAGCTTTTTTTTTCTTTTTTTGGATTTAGTCCCAATTCTTTAAATAACTATAATGAACAGGGAAATGATATTAAGAATTTTGTTTTCACTTCACAAATAACAGTGGTGTAAAGTGGAGTGCTTTTGAAACCAGTTCCTCAGGGTAAAGTCTAGGATGGATTCCATGCAGTGGTCTCCTGTTTCTTGCAGCTTGAAGAATAATGTATAGCTAAGATGTAGACAGGGGATGTTAATATGATTAGTAATATATTGATAATCACGTTCAAGAAATAAGAAGTATTTTTGAACAGATTTTTCCCCCATTTTAAAAGTGTTTGTTTAGGAGCTCCCCTGTTAGCATAAACAATTTGCAATGTTATAGTTTTCCTTTAATACTATTACTATTAGGTTCTTGACATTTTTTGTAGATTAAGATGTTTCTGACTGTAATGGTTTCCATTAAGTATTTCTCTTGCTGTATTTTGAGGAGGCTTGTTTCAGGGTTTCTATTAGGATTTATGACTTATATATACTTTCCAAATTTACTGGTAGAAAAATCCGTAGCCCATAGGCATGTTACCTGTGAAGAAGGCCTTGTATATAAAAGTTTAATTTTTTCCTGTCTACTAAATAAGGACCTACTGTACTGTACTGTACTGTATATGCACTGTCTTCTTTTTGCTTCACAGGACTTTGCTAACAAATTTCTGACTGATTTATGTGTAAATGAAAACAAACTACAACTTCCTGTCCTTATGAATCGGAGTTAACACAATATTTCCTGTCCCTGTAGCTCGTAGATCTCCTGTTATTGCATTTAAATGAATATTATCCTTCTTTCTGTAGAAGCTTTTGCCAAACTCCTGCATTAGTGCCTATACAGACTTCTCTGTAAGGTGAGCTTATACCTAAAGTGCCTTAGAGTCTCACAAGATGAAAGAAACTTTAATTTCCTTGAAGAGGAGGATATTAAATATCCTGTCTCTGTTAATAAATCTACATTCACACTTGAGATAATATCTAGTTATTATGGTGAAAACCCCTATTTGAAATGTGTATACATTATTAGTGGCCGGAGGATGGCAGAAAAATATACTAGAGCAGTGTTAATAATTGAGTTTACTTGAAAAATGGATGGTTGGTGGTTGTAAGTATGATAAATGGATATGCAAGCACTCAGCTATTCAGATAATTTATGACAGCTAGTTTCTCAAGCATTTTAGATATTTACATTACTGATTTACTGGTGCAAATGTATTTTTGATTGCGCGAAGAAAGAAGAATGTCAAATGTGTTAGACTGCAATTCTTTTTGGCATCTCTTTTGAAGAGCAATCTTGACATAAACAATAGGAGGCCAAGTTTATTATAGTGTTTTTGTGTTATAATGCTTCTTGCCAGCTAGTTTACTCCTTGTACTAAAACAGTAGGATTCAAGGGGAGCAGGCGTCTGCAGTCTTGGAAATCCAGTCTAAAAACCATCATTGAATTATTAACTTAAAATGGAGGCTTTCAACAGGGTATTTAGTTTTAGAATCTTATTTAGAATGTTTACATGCCAGACATATGATGCTAAACCCATAGATTGTCTCAAAGGTCTGTGCAGTTTCACCATTTATCCTTTATTTTCATTAAGATTATTTTGCACTTTACTGGGTTAAACCACACACTAGATGGAGCAAAAAAGGGATTTTGAATCCTAGTGCACTGTGAGCAGAAGGAAAAATCAATTAAACTAACTCATCTTACGATGCCTGTAGCAAAGCAAAACCACTTTTTATTAGGGTAATTACTCAGGGCTACTGTCGTTTTTTCTCCAGTAGAAGGAAAAGCAGATTGAACAAGGAGTTCTGCCACTTGTTTTCAGTTCAGCACTTGCATGATGTCCCAATCTCCAGCTTTACTTCCAGTCCTCGTGGGCACTTTTTCGTGAAAGACACAGCTGCTACTCTTGACAAAATGCACTGAAAAGCCACAGTCCCACATATGGAAGCACCATTATCTCAGACACGTATTTAACATAAACAGGAATATCCTTAAATAAAGGCAAGGGTTCATAAATGACCTATAAAGATTACTTTCTCCTCTGGGTCTCCATGTTAAACCACAGGACTGCACATTTTCAGGTGTTCACTCAAGTGAGCTCCTTAGACCTAAATAAAATTTATTACTGTAATCCAATCCTTTTTGTGTTGCATCCTTTGCTCCCCTTAAATGTCTGCCTTAGGTAAGTTAATGGATGTCATATGGGAATTGGATTCTTATCCTTATCCATATGTGTAGATAACATGTGCCAGGTAAAAGCTGGAGTGATAATAAGGTCATTCTCATTAATGCTTGTAATGACCATATGTTATTTATGACCATAACTAACACATGGCAGGGTCAAGCCCTAGTGATTTCTAGAGGTACAACAAGTAGGCACCCACGGGTCAGAAATAAGGATTTTATTTAGGCCTGTAAACTTAAAACACACAAGAAATGCACCAATTCCACATTTTCCAATATTAAGCCACATACTTGTTTTATTCTCTAGTCCAAAGCACCCTGGTATTTGGTTATATGGCTGGAAGTGAGGCCCAGGATTGGCTAACTCACTGATTGACTGTGCATTGAGAGCAGAATAATGCATACACATTCACATGCAGATAATCAGGGTCCCCAGGAGTTCCACACTCTAGCCCAGCTGCACTTAATTTAGGGCAGGGCAGAAGTTAGGGCTTACTACACTAACAGGAGGAGTTCTGTAGCATGTTACATGCAAATTGTCTCTAAGTATTATCCCATATACTTTTGCTTCATATACATTTTGGAGGAGCTGCTAAAATTAAAGCAGAGTAACATATGTACAAAAATTCACAATTAGGAGTTACCAAATATATGAGCATCAACGGTTTACTCAGTGCCTTCACTCTTGGGTAAAATATGGCTAATATTTTTGTAAAAGAGTGATGTAGAATTGTTTCCATAAAGAATAAAAGATATTGCCTGGAAAGAGTACATAATGCAAAATGTCGTCCACACAACAGTGCATATACTTATGTCGTTCAGGTGGGTAGCTGCGTCAGCATGCGTAGGCTGCAAACGAACAAGTAAAGGTTTATTCCATGCTGAAAAGAGAAGAAAGGAAACACAACATTTTGGCTGTGGAGCCTTCTTCAGGTGTAAAAAACTCAACAAATAATTTAGCTCTCAATTTTCACAAATATTAAAAAAAATGTTATTCCTGAAGTAAAATTTGGCTTGATGCTGAATAAGCAGCATAGAGCAACATGTTGAGCCAAAGACATTGCAACAGAAACTGTTGTTAAGCAATGAGTCATGTTTCAGCCTGTTCTGCAGTGACTATAGATAGACAGTGTACCACTGTTTTGGGAAGAAGTACAAGACCATCCGTGTTATGTACAGTAGCTGAAGTTGTAGACCAGTTCCAAGGTGCAGATGGGATGTTATGGGCTTTAGTATGGATGGAGATCACAGTGAGCAATTATGAATTGTTCTTTCTTTGTGTAATGCTATAGAAACAACATTCTTGCTCCACGTATTGCATCTTATGTTTTGCATCTTTATGCTCTCGTGTTTATGCTCGATAATGACCAGCCATACAGTATGTCATACATACAGTAACTGTCATACATCACAACATGTGTGATCCACTGGCCATTCTATTCTCCCAGCAGCCCAATAGAGCACATCTGGAACATGCTATATTGGTGAGATACAGCATTTATACTTGCTGACTTACGTTTTGCTAAGTGAAATATGATTTCCAAGATGAGGCATACTATAAACACACCAATAATCTCAAAACCATGTTATGTGCAAGCATTGCTAGCAGCAGAGGATACTTGAGATATTGAACTTGTTCATTGATAGAATGAATCAACAAGGTATTTAACCTCCTTTGATTTTATCATGGTTTTGAACTGCATCTTACTGTAGGTGTTCCAGCATATTTTCTTCAATAAACATAAATAAATATTGCCATATCTTAAAGCTGATTCTTTATCCCTCACTTTTAATATGTCAGGAATATAGATGCAGATGTAGGGAAGTGTGAAACTATTGAAAATTAAAATCAAATTAGAGCACTTAGGATAGTGCTACAATTTCCTTTAGTTTGACTCTACTTTTGAACTCATTGACTGAATATCCTGAGAGGCAGGAAAGAAGGAAAGAGTGTATAGGCTTTGTTTGCAGAAAGTGCTGAAATACCGCCCGAGTTCTGCTCTGATTGCCAACAGGCCTGCATATACTTTCGTTTACAAAAACCCTATACTACCCAGTGGACTATCTTCGATTCAGTTCTTTAAGACAGTATGAGGTTATGGTATATTAAATCAAAATCAAGGCATTGACAAATGACCTTCTTAAGGTACCATCATAAGCTTTAAACAAACTCTTGACTCAGTGACCCATCTGGCTATATGACCCATCATGATTATTTGGCTCGTAGTAGCTAAGAAAAGATCTCTATCTACAGTACCAGCTGCCACATTCAGGCTAGATTGTTTATTTCAGACTATAACAAAGTAAAGAAGTGCTTCCTGCGTTCTGTCCTAAAAACACTGGCACTTAACTATCATCACTTATGTAGCTGTTTGGTGTTGTTCTGTGATTGCCCTTTTGTACTGTTTCTGCATGTTGTAATGTGACTATACAGTATATAAATGATGTCTGTATGAACACAGCAACCGAAATATGGCCAAACAAAGACACTGCAATGCTTTCAGTCTAACTTACCTTGAATTTAGCTCGTTTACAATTTACACTTTAACAGCATATGTAACTGTATAAGAGATGTGTCATAAACAAAATGAATTCCTGTTTACTAAAGTAAAATATCTTTATGTTTCAAAAGTTCTCATAGAAATGTTACATTCAGTGATTAAGACTAGGAAAGTGCCTATGAATAACTGG